ATTTCAGAACCATCACTTCTTCTTCTTCCTCCTTCACTTTTCGAAATCCCGACGAAAACCCAGTAACGATAATGTTGATGAAACCAAAACCCAACTCCAACTTCTCAATCTTCCCTTTCCTCCTCTTGCTCCTCTGTTTCTTAATAGTCGTTGTCCGATCCTCTGATGTCGCCGTCGAAGGCGGATCCGATGAAGAATTAGACGATCTGGAGCAGCTACTTGCGGTGGACGAACAATTGCAGGAAGACCGCCCGGATCAACAATCGGAAGCGGAGACGGTGAGCAAGGCGCAGAGGATCGTTCTGGAGCTCAACGGAGACAACACGAAGCGGTTGATCGACGGGAACGAGTTCGTGATGGTCCTGGGTTACGCGCCGTGGTGCGCGAGGAGCGCGGAGTTAATGCCGCGATTTGCGGAGGCGGCGACGGATTTGAAGGAGATGGGTAGTCCGGTTCTGATGGCTAAGATCGACGGCGAGAGGTATTCGAAAGTCGCGTCTCAGCTCGAGATTAAGGGTTTCCCTACGCTTCTTCTCTTCCTCAATGGCACATCTCAGCCTTACACTGGTGGATTTTCCTCGTAAGTTGCTGCAGTACCCTAATTTCGCTTGTTTCGTTATCGATTAATGGATCTTGTTGGGAATGGTATGTCTTAGAGTTTCAATTTTGGGTCTAATGATAGAGACTAAGCGTAACGAAGCATCAGATTGTGATTTGTTGTCTTTAACGTTTCAGTAAAGTTCTGAAAATGTTTGGTTCTTGGGTTCAGAGAGGATATAGTGATATGGGTGCAGAAGAAGACTGGTGCGTCAACTATGATACTTAATACAGTTGATGAAGCTCAAAGATTTCTGAAGAAGCATCATACTTTCGTTGTCGGTCTATTCGAGAAGTCTGAGGTATTTAGATATTGATCATTTGATACATTCAGTTGTTTGGACGAAGACTGGTTTTTGTTTTTAATGTAATTGTCATACATTGTTTGCTCAGGATTCTCCTGGACATGATGAATTTGTGAAAGCTGCGTCATTAGACAACGAAATCCAGTTTGTAGAAACACGCAGCAGTGTTGTCGCTAAACTTCTCTTCCCTGACCTTAAAACCAACAATGTGTTTGTTGGAATGGTTAAAAGTGAGGCGGAAAGGTACACTGCGTACGGTAAGCTATCATATTTTCTTTCACTTCTTTAGAGCATGAGAATAGTTAGTAAGTTTGAAAAGTGTTTCGTTGTGTCAATTTTGTTTTGGTTTTGGAGTATAATATTAATGAGTCTTCTGTATTGGTCCTGCAGATGGACCTTGGCAAGCGGAGAAGATATTGGAGTTTCTGAACAGTAATAAATTCCCGTTGATTACAAAATTGACTGAATCCAACACCGTTCGTGTTTACGCCAGTCCAGTCAAGCTTCAGGTGAGAAGTTTCATCATTTTTAACTTGTATCTGATGCCAGTTTTCATTCCATCTCTGTTGGCTGTTATGTTATTTTCGCTTACACAGTTGCGGTATCATTCTTGGTTTAGGTTATGGTCTTTTCGAAGACTGATGACTTTGAAACTCTTGCTCAGCCTCTAGAAGATATTGCAAGACAGTTCAAATCAAAGGTATTTTCAAATACCAAATCTCTTAAAAGCCAAATGAATTTAGTAATCTTGTATTTATGTTTATGCTAATACCATGCAGCTTATGTTTATATATATCGACATATCAAATGAAAACCTCGCAATGCCATTCTTGACCTTATTCGGGATAGAAGACGCAAAGAAAACTGTTGTAAGTTGTCAGAATAAGCGCTTATACTTGTAGGCTATGCATTTCTTGATTTACTGATAAAGCTACAATCCACAGTGATTAATATCAAGTTCTTTATTAGGTTGCTGCTTTCAACAACAACCTGAACTCCAAGTTTTTGCTCGAGTCAGATCCATCCGCTAGCAATATAGAAGTACAAACTTTCTCAGAGTTTTTTTGTTTGTTTTTTCATCAGAGACATTTAGAAAGCTCATTGATGTGATCTATATTGAATTTTCTTGAAATGTAGGAATTTTGTTCAGGACTTGCGCATGGAACCGTTTCACCTTACTATAAGTCAGAGCCAATTCCAGATAATGTGAGTATGAAAATATACATTCTTTTCTAAATGTTATATTGGGGATCATCTGGCTAAACAAGTGTTCTTCATATCTGCAGCAAAATGGAAGCGTAGTGGCTGTGGTCGGTAGGACTTTTGACGAACTGGTATTGAAGAGCCGCGATAATGTTTTTCTTGAGGTACTGTAAATGGAACCAAAACTTTTATCAAGGGAAATAATAAAAATGGATGTAACATTTAGTATCATCATGGAAACAGGTGCACACACCATGGTGCCTTACCTGTGAGGGTCTGAGTAAACAGGTTGAGAAGTTGTCGAAACACTTTAAAGGGTTTGAGAATCTTGTCTTTGCAAGGATAGACGCATCTGCAAACGAGCATCCTAAGCTGAAGGTAAAAAAAAAAAAACAATCTCATAATATAGAGGTGTAGATCCCTTTCATGTGATTGTTATTGGAGATATCTATATGATCATAATGGTATATGTGATGGTTGATGCAGGTTGATGATTACCCGACAATCTTGCTTTACAAAACTGGTGAAAAGGAGAAACCGGTAATACTAATTTGACAAAGTTCCCATTTGGTTTGTTCAATTCTATTTTTCTTACACTATTGTGTTGCGCAGTTAAAGGTGTCGACGAAATCCAGTGCAAAGGAAATGGCCGTTTTTATCAACAAAGAGTTGAAACCGAAGGATCGGTCTGCTAAAGATGAGTTATAGATGTAGGGATCAAATTTATTGTTGTTTGCTGAAACCAGAAGAAGAAATGTAATGGAGCTTTGGAGGAAAGTACACAGATAGTAAGATAGAAATGATAATGTTACTCAACCTACATTAGTGTTTAGTGATTACTGGCAGAGAAATATAGTGAAGTTGAGGAATTTGATTTTGATCTTGGGATTTGGATGTTTTTGGCCTTTTCTCATCTAGTATTACATTAACATCTTGCAAATGAAAATGTACCACAAATTGAAGAGACTAGTAATGAAATAAATAAGTCACTAAAAAATTCCGTACAAAACCAATTCGTTTATAATTATGTAATCAATGAGATGAAAATACCATTGCAGAAAGAAACAGTGACGCTTAAGCTACTTGATACACATCATCACAATGCCAAAGAAACACAAATCTCTCTCTTTCTTTTTTAACACATTCTTTCTCATATTCTTGCAACAAAGTTCCTTAGCATTCACACCCTGTTGATCTTTGTTGCCGAGCCCCGGCTACATCAATGGTGTCAGGAAGGTACCTGCAAGGCATTGAAACAAACAAATCGAAAAAAATCAAGGTTCTTTTGATAAGATAACTCAATTAGATGGTCATAATGCGAGCTTAAAGTTGAAATGATGTAGGTGTTGTTCTAGTGTTGGACTTACACTTCTTCTTCAGGTTCATTCTTGAGAGCATTTTTGGCTATGCATTCGAAAGCTGCATCGACATTGAACCCTTCTTTAGCTGATGTCTCAAAGTAAGGAATGTTTCCTTTGGATGCACACCAAGCCTTTGCTTTTTTCTCAGAGACCTGGTTTACAATATCTTAAGCATTCATTATTCACAGACTTTACATACTGCTACTTACTAACTTGAGAGAAAACGAACAAACATCTCACCACTCGACTCTTTCCACCGTCAACATCAGTCTTGTTCCCCAACACAACAAACGGGAAGTTTTCAGGATCCGAAGGACTAGCCTAAACACATCCGATAAAGAAGATTTTGATCATACCGATAACTTGATAGAAATGATTAAGTACCGGGTGTGTATATGTACCTGGATCAAGAACTCTTCCCTCCAGTTGTTAAGATTGTCAAAAGATTTCAAGACGTTGACATCATTCACAAGAACACAACAATCCGCTCCTCGGTAGAAAGCAACACCCAAACTTTGGAACCTCTCTTGCCCAGCAGTATCCCAAATCTACATGAGAACAAAAACAAGAAATTACTACATTACCATAAGGATGCTTTTAGGACATGAAAACACAATCTTTTCTTGAGAAGAACAAGAAGAGTAAACCAAGTTGTAACAAACTCACATAGTTGAATAACTCTTTCTTTAAATTACACTTAAAACAACCAATAAGCTTAAACAATTGAGATAATTAATGTCTGTTTTGTATACTTACCTGCAAAGTGAACAACCTGTCATCGATTTGGACCTCTTTGGTCAAGAAATCAGCTCCAATGGTAGCTTTATACTGATTACTAAATTTTCGATTCACAAACCTTTTAACAAGGAAACACAAAAACATAATCAAAACCAGATATGCAGCAGAATGAATCTCAGATCCGAGTGTAGAAAATTACATACTGATTCATCAATGATGTCTTCCCAACCCTGAGCAAAAAAATACCAAATATAATCAAAATGTTTCATCAAAACCAAGAATATTCAGACAAGATACTCCTCCCAGTAACAATAACAATAATTGAAAAAGGAAAAAAACATTTTGCATAGATTTCATAGTTAGAAAAATTACCCACTGTCTCCCAGAATAATAACTTTGAGAAGCACTCGCCGGCGAGAAGCCATTGATGCTTTTAGAGAAGCAAATAATTTTCTTCTAAGAAGAAACAAAAAAATGAATAAATTGTCTCTGTTTCTTTCTTTTTTTCTGTTGGGTGGCTACTTAACTGATTGAGAGATTCACGAAA